ACCTGGACGTTTCTGTTACATAGCTACATAGATTTTAATAAATTGGATTAGTAAGAAATTACCGGAAAGTAACTGCTGTGACACTTGCACTTCTCTCAAAACATGGCCTAAATTTAGGAAACCACTCGGACAGAACCTAAAATGAGAGAACCACTGTGCAGTCTCACAGGCATCAGCTAAACCTGTTCCCCCTGCAGACACTTGAATAGTAATGTCTGTGCACACTTCATTGTAGCCTTTTTCCAGATTGACACCATGGAATAAATAAAAAAAAAAAAGACATTTTAAACATGTTTGTGGGGCAAAGCATTTAACCGCTTTTAACACAGTTCATGTTGATGGTTCAGACTCTTTTACTATAAGGATTCAACCTGCATTTATCTTGTGAAACACTGACTGCAGCTACACCTCCTTACAAACCAACAGGTTGTTTTGGTGGTTTAGTCAGTGAACGATCTGAAACTACTTTGTATGTGCATAGTGCATACGTACACTATTGTATTATAGTTGAACCATTTAAGTAGTACATGGTTGAATTTGAAAAAGGTTGACTAATCACAGTGCACATTTCTTTAATTTTGTTTAATAATTAATTGAAGTGATGGAGTTATATCTAAGCCACAGATTTACTTTTATAACTCAGAACATGTGTTTTGGATTGTCTGCCCCATTAAATCCCAGGAACAAACTGTCTATGAAAGTTTAACGAATCATTGATATATTGTGGTTTTTTCTGCTGTCTTCAGGTCTGACAGACGGAGCAGAGATGTGTCTCCTGTCTCCGTTTTCCTCCCAGAACGAGGCCGACCTCTCGTCCTCCCCGGGGCCCAACAAGAGCTGCTGCTTCCAGAGGGAGCCGCCAGAGGGCTGCGAGAGGGTCAAAGTCTGGGAGGAAACCAGGTATGTTTGTTCCCCATCTCCACAAAATGGAGACATGGCGCCTACATTACCCACAATGCAAGTTGAAAGCCAACAGTTGGAGATTTGGGTGTGTTCTGTTAGTGGGCGGCAGTGAGCTACAGAGGTCTCTGCTCCAGAGCCCCGGTTGTTTCTGTTTTCAATTCAAACTATTCTTCACTCACACTCGAGGCAATTCATCACAGCTCCCTCTGGAGCCACAAACACTTTATACAAGCTCTCTACATGGCCTTTCAACAGACTTTGTTGCTTAAAATGGGCAGATTTTCCCTTTAGAGACTAGTTAATTTCCTATTTTAGACGTTTTTCCTTAACCTCTACCCAGAGAGGTAGCTAATAAATGGCTTTTTTTGCAATAAACTATTTAATTAATTCCAAATATTAAACATAAATTCAAACTGCATGGAAGCTTTCTGGTGTTTATACATTAGCCTTTTTTTTATTTTTTTTTACTGTATACTCGGTCTAGACGTGTCCACACATTTACATTTAGAACTATAACCAGCATGGTTAACCAAAGGCATGATAAGGGAACAAACTGTTTTCAAACTAATACAACTGTACCATTAATGACAAAAATACTTACTGTTTTTAAGTCTTGTTCTTACTCAACCTGTATATTGCGATGTGAAATTAGCTGCAGTGTAAACATTCAGCTCAAGCAAAAGTCCTGCATTTATATCCAAAATATGTACACTTGAAGTACTTATTATGCAGAATAGCCCATTTCAGAATGTTCTATACTATAATTATCATTGCAATAATGTTTACTGCCCTAATGTTGCATCTTTTAATGATGGAGCTCATGTTTATTACTTTATATACAACTGGGAAGATGAACCTATTTGTCCTACACATCAGAATGTATTTATTCATTCATTTATGATTTATTTAATCTGCAAAGCTGTCAGATAAATGCTACAGTTCTCGCTGCTGTTATAAATATGTGTCTTTCCCTTTTGTGAGTCTGTAACTTGTAATGTATTGAAGTCTTTGGTAAAAACCCTTAAATCATGAGGAGAGACTACTTTTTTAGTTAATTTGTAAGGGACCAGAATATTAACCATATCATTGATGGTTAAAATAACTGTTGTCTAACCAAATCCAATTACTACCACTAAATCTTAAAGGTGTTCGTTTCATTTTTTGGGTGGTGGCGGCTTAGTCCGTAGGGACTTGGCTACATAATGGCTGCTCCTAACACTAGGAGAGGACGCCCCCTATTTGCCCACCCTGGACTAACCGATGTCCTTGGTGACCAACACAGGGGGGCAAAGTGACTCTCTCATAAACCTGTAGTGAAGGAACACCGCCCTCTCTGCGGATCCTGTCGGGGGAAACACAATGCGGGGTCAGGGGCTCAGTCTGTCCTAACTAGACTTGTCCTGAGAACCTGGGGGTCTCCGGTTCTCGTCTATATGTACACTGGCACCTCTTAAAATGCATGTGTGCACCTATACACCTGTGCATTTGTACTGTGTGTGTAAAACAGAGTGAAGCCTACATATTCCTCCGGGTTATCAATAAAGGTTTATCTTCTTATCTTCAATTTCCTAAAGCCCCTCTCCTCTTGTCTTGTAGCTCTCCACGCCAACCCATGCCCGCCCTCCTCTCCTCCTGCCCGGACCCCAACAAGGTGAACTTCACCCCCTATGGGGGCTCCGCCTTCTGCCCCGTCAGCCTCCTGAGGCCGCTGCTCCCCTCCATGGACATGTTGTTCCGCAGCCTGGCCGTCTCCCCTGCAGGCTCCTGCTCCAGCCAGGGGACGGGTCAGGCTCTCCCAGACCCCCCCAGCACTTCCCCCGCTGTGGTGGGAGAGAGCTCTGGGGAGGGTCTCGCCTTCTGAGCAGCTGCAGATCTTTTTCTGCAGAAATGATAATGCGTAATGCAAATATTTGCTTTATTTTAGGAAAGGACCATTCCATATCTATACAGGTTTAAAATAATCTTATATTGAGAAAAAAATTATAATATTGAAAAAAAAAGATTCTATGCAATCCAATGGATTTGCTTTATGAGCTACTTGCTCTTTTTGGTGTCTGGGCATTGTGATATTTCTAAATTAAGGCATTTCTTCACTCCAAAGATATATTTTTGGCCAAACACACAAGTGTGAGAGATGGGGCAGACCTCTGTTGGATGACTGACCCCCTAACTTCACATGTTTTTATGTTTCCCCAAAGAAAGCCATGACACACACTTATATTATTATACTGGTTTTTAAACTGCAGTGCGTCATCTCTCCAGTCGAGTCAGAAACACCCTGCGCGGATAAGTTTGCTTGTTTTTAAGTATTCAAAGATTTATCTAGAATTCTTCTTGCCTAACGTTACCTTGCACCTGTTGCTGGTGTACAAAGCACGACAAATCAGTTGGGTACTTTTTTTATTTTCCTAAAAAGAAAAAAAAAAACAATGAAATCACATTTAGATTATTATAGACTGAAGGGAATTTTCCAGTTGTTGGACTTTGGTAGATTCAATACCTAAATGCTTCAGCTCATGCATTCCTGCTTTAAAAGATGTTTATTTTTGTTGTCATATTGTTTACGTGCGGAGAACAGTAACTTGTGCACAAGTTAATGGATGAAAAACCCTGTTATTCCTTGATGTTATAGATGTGTGCTGTTTATAGATATAAGGTTTCGCAGCCGAGTTGACTACCTAACCAGTTTTAGTGGTGTAGATTTGTCATCTGTAATTCTCTGAAGACGTTCTTCTTCTGCCAAGCTGACAAGTTGATGTTCAAATAGTTTTATTTCTGGTAGACATGTTTGCACAAATTGAAATGCTACTTTTGAGTCGCAATTCTTATTTTTATATTCACTTTTGTACTTTAAGAGTAGTAATGTGTATTTTCTACATCCTTTTCCAATTACCTGCAGCATAAGCTAAAAAAAAAAAACCCTCTTACTTTTAGTTTTGTTCTGTCAGTATAATTGAGGCAGGTGTTACATGGTATACTGTATCGGGTGGATTTTTATGCACTTCAGCAGAGGGTTTTTATGTGGAGACATTTGTTCCATACCTTAATCCTGACCGGAGTTTTGTTTGTGTGTGTGCACGTGGATTGAAAGTTAATAGTCTGATTGTTTGACTTCTAGTTTTAGTGTCCCGGTGAAATGCTGTTGGATTGAAACATTGTATGTTCCAAATAAGCCTCAATTTCAATGTTTTATGAAGCGGTGTGGATGCTGGGGATGTTCTGTTATCTCAGGTTCTGTGTTCTGTCCACATAAATATATAATTGATAACGTGTTGTCATTGTGATTTAACTGGTCTGAAGTCCTAACTCTTAATGCTGTGGTTCACCATGTCTGCAGGGAGGTGTTGCAGCTGCAGTCTGAACTAGCTTTGATTTGGGTCTACTGTAAACTACACATTTATATTTTTAATTAATTTCCTGTGGGGTCAATGTTCCAATACTGAAAGATCAGATAGATGTTAAAGGTTTAAAAAAAGAAAACTGAATTATTTTGGTCCCTCAAAATGTATATTTTAAAGTTTACAATTGTTTAAAAAAAAAAGGTAAACTTAAGTGGTGGGAAGTAAGTACTTTTACTCAAGTACTGTACTTGGGTACAATTTTGAGATACTTGTACTTGAGTATTTCCATTTTATGCTACTTTGTAGCCCTACTCCTACTTCTATTACAATTCAGAGGTAATTGGTGTACTTGTACTCCTACATTTATTTAATACTTTTAATTACTTTGCAGATTTTGATTAATTATGTGACACATAATCAACACTTTAGTTTTTTAAGACTTAAGTTACACCTGCAGCAAAATTCAGCTGCACCTTTACCAGCCTTGATAACACTTTATTGCATCAATAATTAAAATAAGAACATATCATTATTCTGAAATGGGCCAATGAGTACTTTTGCTTTTGGTACTTTAAGTATATTTTGATGTTAATACTTTTGTACTTTTACTTGAGTTACTAAATGCAGGACTTTTACTTGTACACAGTATTCCTACACTCTGGTACTTCTACATTTACTCAAGTACAATATCTGAGTACTTCTCCCACCTCTGGTAAACTTCCTACTGATGAAGATCATATGCTATGATTGAAAGCTACAAAAAAGCAACACAATTGTGTGGTGACTGTGGCAAAACTTTATCTTAAAATGTAAGGAATCAGAATGTGTGAGGTAGGTTTATACTCTGTTTCTTGACTATTATGTAATGAAGTAATTGGTCCCTTACAGCATGTCAAAAATACAGACGATGGGAGATTATGTTTTTTCTTTCCCCCGCCTGTTTCTGGTGTATAGGTTAAAGTTATATAAGGACAGGGGAGTTTTCTTTAAGAGCTGCAGTTGCTGTACCACACTTGATCCACATTATACAGCTGTTAGCGGTGCATTGTGGGACTGTCTGGCTGTGGAGGAGCTGCTCTGCTGTAGCGCGCGTTTCTCCTGATAGATATTCACTTCAGACTGCCAGAGGATTCACCGGCATGTTGGGGCTCATCGCCAAACAGCTCAAGAGCCACCCTGCTGTGAGTCCTAAACATGTTTATTATATTATTATTTATTTATTACATGAGATCGATAACGCAAGATCGAGCCGGTGACATTGAACAAGGTGTTGAGGACGAGATGATCGCGCATGCTTCCCAAAAATCGCACCTCATTAAGCCATCATTTTTATTTTTAAGTTATTGATATATTACCTGAGTTATACAACATTTTGGGTTTTTATCATACATTACCCGGCAAATTGTGATCTATGACTGCATGAATGTAAAATCTATCGTGGCAGATTTGAGGAGGAAATGGACGATAAAGGCAATAAAACACCAATAAAATAACTTTGTAATCGATTTTTTCCCCCCATCATGATTTTTATTTTTTATTAATCATATTGATCTTAATTTCTCATCACAACATTCCGTTTATTGGGCTATCCTCCTTTAAAGGCGTTGTACATGTTTAGAGCTGGAAACAAATCCCCATTAAAACAGGAGCTATCGTTTTAATTGACTTGTTAAAAGTACCACATCTCTTTTCCCTATATGGTATATCGGTCTGGGTCGATGTACGCATGTGCACAGCCATGTATGCAGTTCTGTACGGCACGTACAGAGTGCAGTGTGACCCCCTGGCCTGATGCCAGTGCAATGCATGTCTGATTATCCAAGGGCACCCGGTTCGCTTTACGGCAGAGTCCATATTAATAATCCACAGGGTGCCACCGTAATTGTCCTTTAAACAGTGTTAGATTTCCACTTCACTGTGTAAATGCTATTTTATTGTCACTGAGAAGGCAAGGATGGGAGGGGATTATACATAGGCCTATATAGAAAGTGAAATCTTATGTTAGTGACATGCAATGCAAACAACCAGCCTATGAGATTATTCTATTATACTGTACTCGTAAACTGTACTCTCACTTTTTATCTTTCCTTATGAAACCGAATATGAGTATGATTAACAGAATATCGTTATTTCTTGTTGTGAGGGTTTTTTCACAAATTATGTTATAAATAGTATGTGTGTGATTACATTTTCTTGTCCTTGCCCCACAGCTCATCCCCCTCTTCATCTTCATCGGTGGCGGGGCGATCATGAGCATTACGTACCTGAGTCGGCTGGCTCTGAGAAACCCTGATGTCTCGTAAGTCTCTATCACGCCTAATAAATGACACAACTACAGACATAGTGTTTTCTTAAGGATTTAGTTAGCCTTTTATGTGTGTGTTTTCAATAAAATCTCTGATGATGTCATGTTAAAGAGTTTTTATATTGTTTTGTTCTCAGATGGGATCGCAAGAACAACCCCGAGCCCTGGAACAACATGAAGCCTGATCAGCAGTACAAAGTATACACCTTTATTTACATTTTGCATAAATTACTAAGGGCTGCTTGGTTAGATTTAATCCATAGTCCATATCGTTTCTGTTATCTTGCCTCCAAATCCATATTGCCGCCCTCACACTTTTGTTTTTTATTTGCAGCTCTACGCAGTTAACATGGACTACTCCAAGCTGAAGAAGGAAGGGCCTGATTTCTAAATCTTCACTTGCCCGTCTGACATTATCGTCAGTGTTAAAAGCTGTTGCACTTTTTGCCAAATCCAAAAACAAACCCATGACACAGAATGAAGGTTGAATCATTTGAACTCATTCAGTCATTTTCAGTGTGAAGGGGGAAAGGGATCATACTCTTATCAATTACTATATGAATAAAACAGGCAACCACCTGTTATACTAATTGATGAATTTATTTTTGATGTTGTGTTGATAATTAAAACTATTTAAATATCTCTTGCATGTGCATTTCTTTGACAATAGGCACACTATAGTTACATCCTCAGGGTTTCATAAGGAGATGATTATATTTGCATTACTAATTCAGGGGAAATCCAGTCATTTCCTGTCATGTATTGTGGTTTTTTAGTCTGCTGAGAATACATCCATGATGGACAGCAGTGGTTGAAAACTGCAGCTGCTTTGATTTCATGAGGTTACTGTCGTCCATGTCAGTGACACTACAGCAAGTCAGATGTGGAGACCACCACTGAGTCTGTTTTTGATTAACCCTCAGTTTATTTTTCTTGTTTGCTACATTAGGAAATGTTTACATTTCCCACTCAGATGTATCTTTTTCTAAAAATAGCATTGAAGTCATTTTGTTTTCCAAATGTTAAAGGTAGGATAGGTCATTCACTTCAGAAACACTTTTTGCTATATTCCATGGAATGCTCTTAACATCCCGATAGCAATGAATAAATTAAATGCTTTGACAATAAATATATACAAATATTTCATCTGTGGAAGCCGTGGCGCTGTCAAAAGCAAGTCCAATTATCTGCCCCGGCCCGCGGCCGATAATTGGATGGCCTACCTGCCTGTCAGCCTTCCATCTCGTGCCCTCATTCGTTCATGTGTGTTGGAGGAGGGGCTCTGTAAGGAAGTCTGAAGGAAGGGCAGATTTTTTTCGGTTGTGTACTTTCAAATTCTAGCTTACTCGAGCTGGTTTCTCCATTCTTACCTACCCTACCTTTAACACTCCGATACGACTTGTTAACTGTGGACATACTGACAAAGACCAAAACATAAGCAGAACCAGACCTGCACATTTCTTGTTCACCAATAATCAAATATTAATTACTCTAATTTAAGCAATTCACTCTCCTTAAAGTTACTAACATTTAAGCTTCTAAAAACACAGTGCCACAGTTTTGGCTTTTTTTCATCATTTCCAGTAAGAGCTGATCATCTTCCTGTTTCTATCACCATTAGCTGTTATTTCTTTTTCCAGCCAGCAGAGTGTGCTGTTACAGTAACACATTGAAATATAGTATTTTTTAGTATTCATTTTATTTAGCAGCAGAAATATAAACAGAACAGGACAAGAAAGTAACATACTAAGATTGAGGACAGAATTAATTAACCCAATGTTTGGAATGATGCTACACCACCATATTGTCAAAATCCACTTTATTGTCAATCTCCTGTGTGTGTGATACAGACAGGGAGATCGAAATGCTGTTGCTTACAATCCCGAGTAAAATGTTAAATATATAAAAAATATATGTAGCTATATATACATACATATACACCTGTACACCCACTTTGTATTTATCCGAAAAATCCACAAGAGATCTTATTAAAAAAACTGTTTTTCTCACATAACTTTTTCAAATGTTCCCCTTTTCCTATAAAAGTATTTCCATTAGTAATAATGTTTTTATTGTTTTGAAAATGTAGTTTTCTTATTTATCCACTAATCAGCGGTAATGCAACGTCTGGATGGCAACCATGTATGCACGAACGATTCACCAGCTGTAACTGTGACCAAAAGATGTCAAGTCGGCTGAGAGCAAAGTGAAGCAAGCCGAAAATGGACATTGTGGGTTTGTTGTTAATGGAGACAGCAGTTTAGAGGCCCTTGTTCTTCCATCAAAGTCATCCACTGCTAGGAACACAGTGCATACAGACAATGCTGCTGATGAGTGACCATCCTCTGGAGACTTTTGCCCCATGTGTCAGATGCCTTTTTCCATTTTGGTGGTACAGACTCAAAGATGGCATGTTGCTGAATGTCTTGACACCTCCAGAGACACATGCAAAGGTACAGATATCCATATATCATATACTTTATCAAATAAAAAATATGACCACCAGCAGCTTCCTCATCAGAAACCATTGATCAAATAACTACGTCCATATCTATTCTTATTTGACACACCTTTCCTCCTGCATTCAGGGGAACACATGTAGTTGTCAATTGTAGGCGGGGGGAAAATATATATATTATTCAACACACCTGTTTTTAAATGTAACTATTGCAGCCGGGAATAACCTCAAAACAACTGATAACTGGCAGCCTGGTGCAGTTACATGACTTATTTGAACGCTTACAATGGCAGTAGGTCACATAAACACATGATAAACTGTAGGAACAAAGAAGCTGGGCTGCTATGAGGGCAGCAGGATCTAATAAGCAGGTGTGTGATGCAGGTCAGGTGGAGGGCAGGAAGGGAAAGGCAGAGGAATTAATTGGAAACAGGTGTGTAGATGGAAATTGGCAATTAAGGGTCTGTGGTATGAAGTACAGCTGAGGAGTAGAGACAAAGGAACAAACTGGTGACAACTCAGGAGATAGTTTTATTGAGTTTAGATTCACCTAACGAAATGATGTACATTGACAATAAATATTGCACCATATCCATTGAAATTCCCCTACACTTTGGCATATGTGATGTATCTTTGTGTCTCTTTCAGCCACTTTATTTACTGGACATGACTAAAGTTTCGATTTTGAGAACATTATTTAGTTTCAGATACATCCCGGTTAATGCACATATTTTGTTCACCCCTAGTTTGTAAAATAGGGCTTTTGTTCAACATGTCAAGTCTCAAAACCTGGACTACATAAATAGTGTTTTTTTTTTTTAGAAAGCTCCCTTGAGACACAGCTGAATTGATGCGATGAGTAAACTGATAAAATCAGGCACTTTTTGAGTATAAGTATTGTCAAAATGTTTTATCAGAATTTGCATGTGCTGTTGCTTTTGAATGACCATTTAGTAGGCTACTCTGTTGATAAGTCTGTCTACATTTTTTCTTTTCACACAGAATGTCCAGATGACCTCCAGTGCTGCTCCACCATTCCTAACCATTATAAGAAATGTAACCACACCGTCCTGGCTATCAGTAGAGCAGAAGTCAAATCATTTACAAAAGTTATTATCAAGCAACAATGGCAAAAGTTATGGGACAGTATACACTAAAGGAAGACATTTAGATACAAAGGGAAGTAGGAATGGAAAGCACTTGGGGGAGTAATAGAAGAGGGCAGAACATTATCAGCAGGATAAAATTGGGTCACTGGATTAAAAATCATCACTACATTTGATTGGAAAACATCCAACTGGCCACTGTGATGGTTGCCAACAATCAGAGACAATACATCATGTATTCTTTAGCTGCCCGGAATATAACAGACAAAGACTCATTCTGCAAACTGCAATGGAACAACATAACATTAAGGACATGGATTTCAAGTCAATATTTGCAAGTAAGTAACTCAAGAAATGAAGTTAACAAACTGATCTTCAAGTTTCTCAAAAACACTGGTCTGAGGACAAAGATTTAACATGAAGATTCAATAAATCAACAGTAGATGGCGATAATGCTCCAAGTGGTTGCGACTCGCCATTAAAGCAAAGAAGAAGAAGAAGAAGAAGAAGAACTACGCTTTAGATGTAAAAGAAGAAGAAACTCGTCTTCTCTTCTCGCGATATTTCACTTAAAAATAACGCGGGACAGTTTGAGGAGTAAATCCGTTGTAACAACAACCATGGCTGTAAGAAACAACATTAGACAGTCAACACATGTTTAATTAGACAAGCTGTGTGTTAATTGAGGCGGTATTTAGCTCAACGCCGTTTGTTAGACTGGTTTTATTTATATAGAGCCGCAGCTTAACAAGGTTTATTCTACTGTTTACCGTTGACAACGTTCGTTAGCTAAACTGAGCTAACCAGCTGACCGTCTGGGAGTAAAACAAAAATAACCGGCTCTGTTTCTAAATGGATCCGACGGAGGACCTTTCTTCCCGGGTCCTGCTGACCCATATTCTCAGCACCGAGACACCAAGGACCCCCATCACCCGCAGGTACTTCACCTTAACCATAACTACAGTTGTCTTGGAAATAACTAGCGAAGTCTGTTGTTATTATTGTTACAAGCTTTGAATATGAACGCTAGCTCTGATAAATGCTAACGTTATTCCTCCCATAACTAGCTTAGATAAGATAAGGTGGTTTTCGTAACACCAGCATGTTAAAACAAGGAAGCCTCAATTATTTAATACACTGTATAGAAATAATTATAATAACCACAATAATATTATCCGATCTATCCAAAGATGCACATGGTTTCCTCTGTAGATCAGCATGGATTTACTATTTTGTTATCAAAGTTGTGCTTGTTTTCAATTCAAACCTGATTTATTTTTATTTTACAGGGAATCATTTACATTATATACAAAGTATTGTTTTACCCCTTTTCAGTTTTTGAAACATATATAAACAATTTAACACCCAAGTATGCTTTTTCTACAATGTCATTCAAATCACCTTCATGATTTCAAGTGTTTATTGTAAAGATAATGTTTCTTTTTTAATCATACTTAAATTAAGGATTTTAAAACTATAATAATATTGATCTTTCTTGTCTTAAGTGCCTCTCAACAACTGAGTACCAGCGCGACCAAGAGCAGCCCTCGACTGAGAAACAAATATGCTGTTCCCCAAACCCCAAAGGCCATCCTAAAACTCAGCCAGATACACAAACTACGGGAGGTGAGGAAGGCTTGCAGAGCTTGTGCTGATCATGGACATGCTGTGGATTTTCTTAAGGTTGACTTATTGACCTTCTTTCCAGAGTATATCCAGGCAACCCCTGAATGCCACGAATGCCACGAGAGGGCGGACTCGCTCAGTCTCATCCAGATTGAGTAACATGCATGCAGCAAACTCAATGGTGTTGGAGGATGGAGAGACACCGAGGCACCTACTCATGAACATCCTGCAGACAGGTATGTGCATGGCATGGTTTTATTCACACCTAATGTTGCAGCTGATTGCGGCCCTTTTTTTAATCGTCTAATCTTTCATGTGATTCAGAGCCTGTGATGACGCCTTTGACTCATGGGAGGGCCGCGTCAGAAGGGCGACAGCCATCTTCAGCCAACTTGAGTAAGCGTTGCAGGTGAGTTGTGTTATGGAAATTGCACATTGCTGACATTTGGGATGACCAGGATGATTACTTCAAATGTTTTACTTTTTCAGTCCAAAGCTGATAAAAACATCCACCCTGATCTTCTCTCTCTTCAGCAACATTGACAATTTGTATGCTAGCACCGGCTGACATTTGTTGTGTTGTGTGTAACAGGTTAATATTTGCTTCACTTTCAGTATTGAGCTGTCAGGGTTGGATTTGCCTGATTTAACTATTGGTGCAGCGAGTACCCAAAAAAGACTGTTCAGGAAGAGACATCTGACCTTTGATATATCGGCTTTTGAAAAACGTCTTAATGCTGGAGAAGGTAATGTTCAAGCTACAACAGAATAGTGGTGTAAAGTAAGATCCTAAGCTTGTTGTTGAATTGACAGATTTCCAATAGGGTTGGATTTAACTAAGTATTCTCCTGCTACAAGAATTAGATGATGATGTAAAAACATATGAACTATGAGAACACTTATGTATTTTATTAATGTCTTGGTTTTATGATGAATGCTTGTGCTTACAGATCTTGTGGATGAAAATGAAGAATCAGAACAATCATCTCTTACTTTGTCAAGGTAAATTAAATAACAAACTTCAAAGTTGTGTCGTTTTTTTATGCATATAAAAAGTTACATTGCTTTTTAAAATATTAACGAGTGAATATATAACTATGCGGTCTCTCCATTCTGTTTTGCAGTCCCACTCTAAAAACCCCCTTTGTGGAAGTTCGGACTGAGAAAAGAGGCCTGCAGAGAAGAGCTTTACAACGCCGTAGAATCTCAGAGACAGGATTTGACGCTGCTGTAGATGGATGGTCGATGGAAGGTGATTACAATGGGGAAAAAACACCCTTGTAACTACTCAAAAATGCACCATTTAGGCTTTATAGTGTCAATAACAATGAAAGAACCCACTAGTTTTACCCCGAGTATATTTTTATTCTAATATGTCTCAAAATGTGTCATACATTTTGAGACATATATATTATTTTACAGAAAAATTAAATGGACTAAAGTTTGAACACAAGGCCAATTCACATCTAAATTTGGCGCTCTCAAGAATATTTCGACCAGGTATACAGTATGAAATGTACATTTAGAACTAAAGCCCAGTTGCATTCGCAAGCAGGAGGAAGGGAGCCGATAGCTGTTTTACGAAGGGAGGCTCAATTAGTGGCGTATCAATAACAATATTGTAGGTTATTTGCAACTACTGTCGCTAGGGATGCTACTGATACTTAATTTGTCGTTTTCCCTCTCTTCTTGTCACCCAGGAGAGACGGGCAGGGGGCAGACGGCGCAGAGTCTCAGTAAGACCACCTCCTCTGAGGGCTTCACTCTTGGCCTCAGCAAACTCAGTGACTCTGACATCACGTCCGAGATCATCCACCGTCACACGGCTCTCTGCGCCCAGCCCGGCGCCATGACCGACAACTTATCAATAGTCGCAACTCGGGACAAACCGACGGTGAGGGTGGAGGAGGAGGATCAGATGGAGGTGGAGCAGATGGAGGTGGAGCTGGGGAAAGATAAGTCAGTGTATGCATTCCCAACTGAGGGGGGGGGCCGAACCTCAAAATGGAAGTTTGACTGCATCTAAATCTCAAACGGAGGAAGAGAAGCACACAGGTGATGATCAAATGAAAGATAATGCAACTGTGGCTGAGGAAGAGACAGGTGTAGCTGAATCCCTGGATACTGTTAGGGAGGATGCAGCAAATACGGAGGAAGAAGAGAACAATGTAGAAGCTCCAACAGAGCTGGAAGGTGAAGCTGATTCTCAAAATGAGGAGAATGCTGCAGTCAGGTCTCCGTCTGAGGAAGAGGAGGCTGCAGCAGAGTCTCAAACTGAAGAAGAACAAGATGGAGTTGATTCCCAGGTTGAAGAGGATGTTGTACCAGACACTCAAACTGAAGAACAAGATGGAGTTGATTCCCAGGTTGAAGAGGATGTTGTACCAGACACTCAAACTGAAGAACAAGATGGAGTTGATTCCGAGCCTGAAGGGGTTGCAGAGGCCGTGTCTCAGTCTGAGGAAGAGGATGTTGCACCAGACTCTCAAGAAGCTGCAGTTGATATTGAACCTGAAGAGGATTCAGCAAAGTCTCAGTCTGAGGAAGAGGAGGAGACTGCAGATGATCAAAGTGAACAAGAGGTTCCTGCAGAGGAAGTGGAGGACGATTTGGCTGATTCTCAACCTGAAGACAAGCATGATGGGAAGCCGGAGGGGGAAGATGCCGAGCAGCCGTCGGAACAGGAAGAGCGAGACCTGGAGCACACCAGCAGAAGGGCTCCTCGCTCTGAGGGTCCCCTCGTCGTGCCCGTCACTGAGGCAGCGGGAGACTTGGACGACGCCACAGAGGAAGGTGAGGACATCCAAATATGTAATCTCTTTTGACATGCTTTCTACATGAGAAGCAGCAAGTCAGCACATTTAAAACATACTCAAGCAAACCCATCCTGCAAAAGCTGACTGAGCTGCATCCAAACCCCAATAGATTCCTCTTATTATAATTTTTGTATTTCTTTATAACTACTTAATTATTAATACATTTTTCAAATTATGTCACATTACTTATCTTTGTCCTTTTTATGTTTAAAAATCAATAATTTATTTCTGCTTTTGTATTTTTTAAGTATGTCTAAATGGTCAAACATGTGTTGGGACAAATGGGGAAATAAAAGGGGGAAAAGGTTAAATAAAATACAGCCGTTTTCATCTCAGGACTGCATGTCAGAGTATTTTAAAGTTCAATGTTTAACAGCTTTGTTTGCATTCAGGATGGTCTGATGGTAAGTCTAAAGCACCAAGCAGCCTGCACATGGAAAGCCCTAAAACACACGCTTCCTACACGGACGCCGACCCTGGCGCTGATAACGAAAACTCCTTTCATCTTCTGGAGCTGGCGAATGATACCAAAGACGGGCTCCTGAATGACAAATCACCTGAAGAAGCTGCTGAGGAGGAAGAGGAAGAGGAAGAAGAAGAAGAAGAAGAGAAGAGGAAGAAGAAGAGGAGGAGGACAGTGATGGTTAGTCTTTGTTAGTGTTTCATTTATTGAAAGTCAATTGTGAATAGAGGTAAAATGTGTTTTTTGTTTTCCAAAATCTTCAGCGATCCCAAGCAAGACCCCAGCTTTTGTCAGACAGAAAATGAACTTTTTTCAGCCCAAACCTCAGAATATTCAAGCAAGGTAAGTTGCATTTTATGCTACAATCTAATTTTTTTCATAGCATATAGAATGTCAGTTGTATAGTTTAAACGGAATTAAAGTTATTGTATGTATATCATCTACTATGTTACTGACTTTATATTTATGTATTATGTCAGCAGTAGGACAGGGGAAGCTATTCCTGTTCCTAAACCAAAGCCAGTGAGAAAGAAGGAGAAAGGGCCGGCTAAAAAGCAGACTGAACTTCCTAAGCGCTACCTGATGGACGTGTTCAAACACTTTGCCAAAACAAAAGTCTCTCCAGATGTGTACCCTGTCCTAAGAGATATGTAAGTAATATAACGTTGCCTTTAAGTCAATAATATTGCACTGTAATGTGTTTAGGACACCATGGATTTCTACCATTTACAGTACACACTAGCTTCATTTTATTTCATGTTTTTACCAGAATGGATAAATACTTCGACCGACTGGCGGAGGACTTGGAGACATATGCTCTTCATGCAAAGAGAAAAACCATAGAGGTTGAAGATGCTGTACTTCTGTTGAGAAGGTAAGTGTGATTTGTGCTTATCTGTGCCAGGACAACACTAATGACTTGGGGATCAGTCGTTTTGAAAGATAAAAACAAATATATTTGTGTTATGGTCACCAGCAGTGAATGTTTGCCATGTCTTGAAGAAGATTCAACTTTATTGTCATTACATAGTACAGGTACTAGTAACAAAACGGTTCCTCTGCATTTGACCCATCCTAGTGTTAGGAGCAGTGGGCTGCCATTATGAACGGCGCCCGGGGAGCAGTGTAGGGAACGGTGCCTTGCTCAGGGACACCTCGGTAGCACTTGGTCTTGCCGGGACTTGAACTGGTGACCTTCCAGTTGCCAAGCCAAGTCCCTGTGGACTTGGCTTGGCACCGCCTCTTGATTGCCACCACCGCCTCTTGATTGCCACCACCGCCTCTTGATTGCCACCACCGCCTCTTGATTGCCACCACCGCCTCTTGATCGCCACCACCGCCTCTTGATCGCCACCACCGCCTCTTGATCGCCACCACCGCCTCTTGATCTTTGAAATAACATAATTGCTGGTTAACTGTGGGGTTTTCAGCAAGCATCAGTTTAATGTAACATTTAGTAACATGGGTTATTAATTTTAAGGCATTTCTTTCTTCAAATGGGACCTTTTGTTCCATTGCACAATCCTCAAAACTTCATTATGGGATTTTTTTGCCCATTTGTTTGCAATTTAAGTACAAATTAAACATATTATACCCTAATGGTGTGTTTTTGGCAAACATGAACACAGTTATTTAACCCTTGTTTTTTGCAAAAAGCTTTAATAAAAGAGTTCAATTCGTAACAGACCTGAGACATCAGTCCACAAAAGGGTCAATCGTCAAATGAAAGGCCTTTTCAGATAACAATAATTCATGATGGCCGACAGTTGAAACCAAAACAAAATGGTGACAAGTACACAGCAAAAAGTAATTAATACAATGCTTTCAGAATGATTTTGGACAACTATTATGTAGAAATTAATATTGTAGCAAAAGATATAATAAAAAAACACTGGATAATACCGACCTCTAGATGGCAGACTCGGACTCCACGTTTAGTCTGAAGTAACAGACACGAGACGGTGTGGTGCCCCCACAAATAAAATCAAATTCTGTGGGAAACACTGAACAGTATACCTAAACAATTTCTGACACTTTAGTCATTATACTTAGATTTAACTGAACCATTTTTTTGTTTTTCAGGCAGGGACACGTGACTGACACGGTCCCAGTGGAAGTGCTGATTGAAAAATATCTTCGTATGGAACAGCGCAAACTCCTCATCCCCATAGCAACCAGCGGAAATGTTGTTATTCCTAAAAAGCGTTTATGAATGTGTTCTATACTTCTAGATTTTATTTTGTACTTTTACATGCCTTTGATTTGGACATTCTCCATGTAATGTTGTCAATCAGAATATTAAAATGTCTGTAAATATGTGTTGACAAGAATTTTTGTTGTGTACTCTTTTCTTTGGAAGCATTGGCTTGTTGACAAAAGTTTATTTTCTGTCTTTGTTGACCCTTGTGAATAAATAAATTCAGTGAATCACACGTTTTATCTTTATGAAAACCAGTAATGATGCACGTGGAGCCCATGTGAGGTGTTGTGATAGCATTTAAAATTGTGCATTTACAGAATCATCAGGCTTTGGATAAAAGGGTTTTGTAGTTCGGCTTGTTTGGGAATATATTGGAAAAGAAGGCACCATTTTTTTTCAGAGGGATTTCTTATCCCTGGCAGGTCATACTGTCCTGTGCGTTTTCTAGATTGGGCAAATTAATTACAACTAACCCGTATCGCAATCGGGGGAACTGGTGCAACTAATTATTTCAAAGATCGAGGTTGCCTACCAGCTAGATACATAATAAAACCTCACCCACTAGACACAAGGTTGAAGATGTATTAACGACCTTCAGTGTGAACCAATACATCTAGAGAGTGATTCCATCTACATCATAATTAAATTAAATCTTTATTAGTCTACACTTGTTAATCTTGGTGTGCTGGGTGTTTGAATTAACATAGCATAGATATAACTAAGTGTTGTTTTATCTCTTACAATCAGGCAAAGAAGAGAAGAAATATGGAGAGAAACCCCTACACACACTTTAGAATCAGTAATACTTTATTTGTCCCACAGGCAGCATGGAAATGTACAGTGCTGGTGAAAGGCAAAAATAAAACTATTAAATAAAGATGCAAAAACACATGTAACATAATCAAATATGTTAATATACCATGGTAAAACTATAAGGAACATAATTAATAAAGAAATGAACAAGCCGACTAATAACTAGTAGTTTAGTTTTAGTTTAGTTTAGTTTATTTTTTTTTTCCGAGCGTGTAAAACCAAAGAAAATACAAATGAAACAAAAGGTGATACAGACATGATACAGTACTATACAAATGAATGCAATAACAAAACGAAACATTTAAATAATAATTGAATAATCTGCAGTATCATTGTCTGATATCAATAAACAACAAAGCTTTAGCTAATTACACATCCGAAAAGGGGTCGGAAGAAGTTTACACTTATTTAATCCGACCCCTTCTCCCTTTTTTATTTTTATTTTAATTTTAATTTTTTTACATCTTAATATATGTTAACATACAATATAAACGTATACTTATAATCTTGAATAATTGATATAATATATAATATAATAATATATAATATATACAGGCAAGTTAGGATAATGGTCTCTATATATTTATATATACATATATATATATATATATATATATATATATATATATATATATATATATATATATATATATATATATATATATACATACACAAATCCATACAAACACAAATTCATAAATAAAATACAAAACAAGAATACAAACAGTTATGGTTTAGCAGTTTCATCCCTGTACCTTGTGAGAATTGTGTCTTTATACCTCTTTTTGAATAGTTTTATGTTTGGACATCCCTTTAGCTCTTCACTCAAATTGTTCCAGATCTTCACCCCACAAACAGAAACACAAAAACTTCTCTTTGTTGTGCGCACCCTAGCATTAGTGAATATAAATGAACCCCGTAAATAATGATTCCCTTGTCTTTCATTGAACAATATCTGAATATTCCCAGGTAATTGAACGTTTTTTGCCTTAAACATGATTTGTGCGATTTGGAATTCAACAAGATCTGACAGTTTTAATAATTTTAGCTCTAAAAATAATGGGTTTGTATGATCCCTATAGCCGACATTTTTAATAATTCTTATTGCTCTTTTTTGTAGAATAAATAGGGATTGTGTTGTAGTTTAAAGTAGTCTTAAATATAAGATTTGTGTGTTGATTTTTACATACATATACATTACATACTGTAATTTCTCCTTTAATTCGTGGACTGTTAATTTACTCCGAGACAGCAGGGGTCGCTCTTTGTGAGACTTCATGTCTGCCAGTTAGCATGCTAGCAATCAACAACAGAATATCCCGGACAACTAGCGTCTTAATTTAACCCAACACAAAGGTAAGCCTTTCCCTAAATAAAACAACAAGCACTGACATGTGGATTTAAGACTTAAAAAGAAAGAATTAAAGCTCTTATGTCGTATTTTTAATTGCAGTTATTTCGACAATTTCCCAGACCGTTTTGTTTGGCTTAGGTTAGCTGCATGCTAACTAGCTCGATCAGTTAGCTGTCGTGCTATCGTCAGAGTGTCTGGATTACTCACAGTATTTTTTTATTTTGAAATGTACCATAACTTTTCATCACTGTATAGGATTTATTTTTCAGTATGAGCACACTGGTGTTCAAACCAAGCGTTAGTCAAGAAAACTATTTAGAGTATGATACCTTTTCGATAATCTGTATTGTTAGCAGGTTAACTACCTGCTACTGTCACCGCCTACTGTAACTGCGAACTGAGTCTCCAGCATCGTCTGCTACAACTTTAACTCTTAATAAAACACAATGAAGATTGTTTAAATGTTATGTATAGTTGTTAATATACATATTTTTTAAATGTATGACATATATTTGGTTAATAGATAAATGTCAGGAACAAGAGGATTTGTTTCCTAAGCCTTTTATCATTATTTTTTAGAGCTACTTCTGTGGATGGTTTAAAGTAGTATGTTGAGTTTTAGAAGTGCTTTGGTTGGTATGATCTGTTTTCTCAATCTGCTCAGAAACAGTCATTCATAGTTGTCATTTATAATCAGAGGTGGAAGAAGTACTCATATATTGTACCAGAGTGTAGGAATACTCTGTTGCAAGTAAAAGTCTTGCATTCAAAATGTAAAGTAAAGTAAAAGTACAAAAGTGTTGGCATCAAAATATACTGAAAGTACCAAAAATAAAAGTACTCATTATACAAGATTTGCCTCTGAATTGTAGTGGGGTAGATGTACAAAGTAGTAAAAAAATGGAAATACTTAAGTAAAGTACAAGTACAATACTTGAGTAAATCTACTTTGTTACTTTACAACACTGACTGTAATTTATGGTTTTAAGTAGTATGTTTTGAGTTTTACTTATTTTGTTCTGGTCTGTTTTGTCAATCTGCTCAGAAACTGCCATTGATAATTGTCATTTACAAATTGTTTGAAGTAAAAAAGTTAGGTGTGACAATTGTCTGAGCATTTCTTTTTTGCTCTCAATTGTATTGTCTGCCGTGCCACCTATGAAATGTGGAATGATTTATTATAGTAGTAGTATTTAGTAACCACTATCTCTTTAGTACCAGAAAGTTTACATGTGTTTTATAATATGCAACCTGAGTCCAGACCTTTTAAGTATTCAAACATAATACTTCTAAATAGAATATAAGAATAAACTGCATGGTGGCCGATGACCTGACATACTTACCACCTTGCGCTAATTTAATTCCCTAGGTGTGACTCTGAATATTTTCTCAGTAATGACTTGTATATACACAATAGTATGAATGACTTAACACCACAGCAATGATATCACTTCTGTTGTTGGCACTGAAAGCAGATGTTCTCTCACGCTGCTGGTGAACACACTAGCCTGGACACTTTATCAACTTTACACCAAATGTTTCGCTGTTGTTTTGGTGGTGTTACCTTTATATTGTGTAGTGATTCGTGATGCATTTGAACACAAGTGTACAGTATCTGTGAGGCAAAGCTTGGCTTTCTTGCAGCACTTGGAATCTCTACTCGTCTTTTTGCTACATTCCTTTCCTTATATTAAAAGTCAAAGTGCTGCCCCACAGCAGATTTAAAAGGGTCTTAGACCAATTTTTTTTCTGGCCTTCCCTCCAGATATACTGAGTATACACAACTCGGTTTAGCTGAGTTCACTTAAAGTGTGATGACTTCGAGTAAAATCCACTGCGTTTGCACAGTTCTTCGACAGCAGGGGTCTCCAACCTTTTTTAGGATGCTACTTTCAAAAAATAAAACAAGTCGTGAGCTACTTTTACTCCTCTCTTTTTTGTTTTTTTGCAGTGTATATATTTAGCACAGTTTAACATTATTATATGTGTCAGGTTTGGGGAAATAGGACCCAAGTGCAGTTCAAAAATACAAAAAGGTTTGTTAACAAAAAGCGGGCTTTATTAACAAAAGCTGAAGGCATGAAAAAACAAGAAACTAATAAACAGAAACAAAACCGGGGAACACGACAGACAGGAACAAACTTACAGACGGGAACAGGCAGGAGACATGGACAAGCATAGACGAAGCAGCTATACTTGCTTTACTCGCGATTGAGAAACACCCAGGGGGTGTGTAAGATTTGTTTTTAAATGTTGAAGTGAAATGCATCAATCTGGAGCACTTTGAGCACAAAATGAATTGATGGAAACAGCTCACAACACTCAGATGAAAGAGAGCTGTATACTTTTCAATAATCCAAACATCTTTAGAATATGATCACAACCAATAACAAATCATTTAAACTTGTTTATTCTTATCTTATGTTACCTAGTTAGCATTCTTTCTTTTTATTTATGCATATTTTACTAATCAATCCCCTTTTAAACTGTTTTTTTTTTTTTTATAGTACACATTGGAATGATTTCTTACTTTATCTTTTACAACTATATTAAATAGATAAAGGTGTGCTCTCTCTAGCTCTCTGTCTCGCTCGCTCACAGAGGCTGTGTGCTCCTCCGTGGCGATGACGGCTTGCGCAAAAAATAAATAATAAACATATTTGTAAAGTGGGGGAAACAGGATTTCGAAAAGTGGGGGGGACATGTCCTCCCTGTCCCCAGTGGAAATTACGCCATGCGTATGTGTGCAATAAATATATATGCAAGTTGCAACACACACAGAGTCAAACTCTGCCCCTCATGTGCTGTATAGGCTGCATGACTAGGCTGTTCAATGGGGCTGATGTGTTGTGTAGATTCTGCCAGAAGGAAAGGTCAAACTCCTTAAAGTGTGCGGTGAGGTGCCGCTCCACATTGCTTTTCTTCCGGACTGCAACGCTGGTCCCAGCAAATCAAGCAAGAACCTGATTGGTCGATATTCATTGTGGGGTGTGTGGGGAGGAGGGGTGTTAGATAGATATAGAGTTGTAGTAAGTAGATAGAGTTTGCTGTGATTGAGGT